AACTTTCCTTTGTAAACTGTTCCATATCCTCCTCCACCAAGTTTTTCGATAAAGTTATCTGTGATTCTTTTTATGTCTGCATACGAATATCTCGTTGGTTTGAGTGCCTTGTAATCCACCAAGAATTGCTCAATTTTCAATTCAATCTCTTTTTTCAGTTTGATTGAGCTATAAATCCAATATGATGCAATAGCAAGGAACACAGCAAGAAAAGGACCAAGTACTTCACCTGCATATCAAAGCAAACATATTTAGTTCTTTTGCCATAACCGAGAAAATGTTACGTTCTCTGTAGTCAAGATAGAAGCGAAAATTGAGCATAAATTCTCACCTGCAACTCTTAGTTTTGGCACTGAACCTATGAAACATTTGAAAAGAACTGTTAATTCCTCTTGCTTATGATTAACTCTTCAGACTATCAAGAAAACTCTATATAAAACTGTATTTATGTGTGTATATTTTTATGAAATTATTGCGGTGTGTTATATGTGTGTGTAATATAGAACCCATCCTACATATCATGAAAGTTTAAGCAAAGATATAACAGAAGGGTTAATTGATTAAAGTATAATTATATCTTCTCAAAAACCAACTCTGGAAAAATTAAAATTACCTTCAGATTTGCTGCTGTAGCATTCAGTACCATGCAGGATTGAACTGTCATTCTTCAATCTACAATGTTTGCCAGTGGATTCGCAATATCTACAAGATGGCCTGGACCATTCCAATTCACAAGGGATCAGACTGTCAGATACAATCCAAGCTATGGATTGATGAATGTCAAACATCTTGCTGCAGGATTGTAAGTCGAATTCGTATAGTGGAAATTCGGAATAAACTGCATAAACATCATAATCCTTACTGCTGAGGCAGGTTACGGGGTGTAGATAATAAAGATTATCTCGCTTGATTTTGGAACAGTTGAAGAAAGTGAAGTTATCGCTATAAGCATCTGAGAATTGGAATGGAGATGCGGATAAATTTAGAAACCGAATCAATTCTGGAAGGCAGCCGAAGACTTTAGATATATTGATTAATTGATTTTTGTAATCAATTTCTTTTATGGAAAACTGAACCGAAAATGGCAGGTTAGAATCCTTGATCGATGCCTTCACCGGAGAAGGTAATTCCAAGACCGTGTCTTTGTTTTGAGTGCAGAGAAGTTCAAAGCCAGGGTAGCCACAGTGCTGTTGATGGCGGTCTTTAAGCCTGAAGGGGAACCGGACGACAGGGCCATGGTGCCTGCACTTTTCTTCATGGCATTCATGTTGAACACTTGATCCAAGTACAACAAAGAGTGAAAGAAGAATGAGGTAAATGAGTTGAGGTCCCATCTCAGGGAAGAACAGTTATGAATTATTGGACCACTTCTTTATACTTCCACATTCTTAAAATTAGATTTTTAATGAAATTTGATAAAAGTTGATAACATGTATTGAAAAGTTGTAGGTCTCACAAAATACGTGATTAAAATTAATTGTTGACTTTGATTTAAGATAAAAATTTAGATTTTAATTCATGCTAAACTGGAGCTTAGTATTTTTTCACAGAGAAAAAACAATCATATCATACACTAATGAGCAACTTTACAACTGACTTGACTTGTATTTCTATTGGTCTCCATCCATTGAAAAGAATAAAAATAAAAATGGAATACCTTTTACCTGATCTGGCATTTTCACCCCCCTTGATTTGCCTTCACCTTCTAAATAAGGATTGCACTCTTTGATTTGATTGAGTGACATATTCTTTGCTTACAAATACATTTTTCTTTTAATTATACCTAAGTAGCCATTTGCGTTTCTAGCGACCTTTGGATTGTGTCATATCTATTAGGTCCCGTAGTGTCACGCAAACACTATGTCACGTTACATATATCGAAATCAATAAAGTAAATTTCAAGGAATTTTTGTCTTCAAAATATTACTCATTTAATTTTAAAAATATTTTTGGTTATTTTTTTTTTCCAGCATTACTGTTGTGGAGGGGAAAAGGAGCGACCAGAAATACTGCTTATGAATTTCTGGACCTTTTGTTTTCTTTTACAATTTTCTGTATTAGTAATCTTTTATGAAGAAAAAACAATCAAATCATAGACTAACGAGCTAGTGTACAATTGACTTGATTTGATTTGTATTTCTATTGGTTTCCGCCCATTGGAGAAATCAAATGTTTCCATTTACCTGATGTACCATTTCATCCCCCTTTCTTTCTTTCCCCTCTCTTGAGAATCTCTATCAATGAGAGACATCATGCTACTCTTTGCAATTTCAATCGTCTTTTTAATTCTTGTATTCTCTGCCAGTTATTGCGAAGCCGACTGTCCCCCTACTTCTTGCGGCAGTATCACAAACATTAGCTACCCGTTTCGACTTAGAGGCGACCCCAAAAATTGTGGCCATTCGAGCTACGAACTTGCTTGCGAGAACAATCGCACTATCCTCTATCTAAGTACAGGCAGATTCTTCGTGCAGACAATTTCTTACAATAACTTTTCAATTCGACTACTTGATCCTGGTCTGGAAAAAACAAGTTGTGCTTCATTTCCAATTAACAATCTTCCATCAGATTCCTCATTAGCATCGGACGATTCTGAGCCATATTATATTCTGGAATATAATCCTATAATATATATCCACTGTGAAGCTCCTGGAAAGTCTCCTTACTATGTTGATACATGCATTTGCAGTAAAAATATTTCGCTGCAGAAATATTCCTATCTTTTAGTCGGAGTTGGCGTCAGTGTTGCAGGTTTAGAGGATTCCTGCAGGATTGACGCGATGGCGTGGACTTCAAAAGGATTTCCCATAGGTTATAATGCCACCTGTTCAGACATTCAAGATGGGCTGGCTTACGGATTTGAGCTTATGTGGAACAGATTCTATTGCAGCGAATGTTTTGCAAAAAAAGGACATTGTTTTGTTAAAGATGACAATACCATCGGATGCTCACATTCCGGTAACATTCCCGGTCATCTACCGCCCAGTTGTATGTGGATTATTAGTCTAGCTAGTTTCTTACTTAAATTTTGCTGTGTAACAAAATGGAGGTGCATATTTTTCTCTTTGTTAAGTATATATTTATCAGTGAAAACAATTGGTTCCCACTTCCGAGTGACAGAATAAAATATATTGATAAAAGATTGGTTTACAAGATCCAACTTTTAGTTTTCCGATCTTGCTTTTATTTTGACTTTGCAGGTTCATTCCATTTCTGGTTGCGGATCTACTTAGGTGGGTATTCTGTTATCTAGACTAGGCTAATTTTTGTATTAAACGAACTATTGACAGTTTGCAGCCTTCGAGAGTTGACGGCTGGCAATTCTGAGAAAAATGTTATTATTATGTCCGAATTAGTTGTCATACGATGATTTTTTTTTCTATTAATATTTATTTGTCAATAGAATCTTTTTCCTCTCTGTTAAGTATATATTCATAACAATAAATGACTCCGAGTTTTATTTTGCTAATCCTGCTTTTGTTTTGAGTTTGCAGAACTACGATACATCTGGATTGGTCTGTGCTCTCTTTCTTTTCCCAGGCTAGCTTCATTTATAAGCAGCATTTTCTTGAAACACCTACCTTCTTTGTATTAAACGAACTATTGACAGTTTGCAGCCTTCGAGAGTTGACGGCTGGCAATTCTGAGAAAAATGTTATTATTATGTCCGAATTAGTTGTCATACGATGATTTTTTTTTCTATTAATATTTATTTATCAATAGAATCTTTTTCCTCTCTGTTAAGTATATATTCATAACAATAAATGACTCCGAGTTTTATTTTGCTAATCCTGCTTTTGTTTTGAGTTTGCAGAACTACGATACATCTGGATTGGTCTGTGCTCTCTTTCTTTTCCCAGGCTAGCTTCATTTATAAGCAGCATTTTCTTGAAACACCTACCTTCTTGTCTCTAAACTGTTTCATCTTTTGTTGATTTGCACAGTGTATCATATGAAGCTGTTCCATATCCTAGGTAAGAGATGAGATATTCAATCTTACTGCTAAATTGTTCTATATATTTCGTGTGGTAAAAGAGGACCCTTTACTAGTATGGATTCTAGAAACCTTTTTCTGACGCAATTAACCAGGGATGACAAATTTAGGGAGTATTTGTAGTGTGGTAATTTTGCTGAATCTCATTCTACAAACCAGAACCTTTTTAGCCAAAATATCCTTGTTTGGAAGAAAAAGTTTTCATGTCATTTTTTTCATCTTGCTTTTCCTCTTCAGGATGGATTCTTGCAGCAAGATTTTCTTGTGGCATTCTCTTCCTGTTCACATTGTTGGCATATAAATTTCGAAGGCGGCACCTCTCAATGTATGACAACATTGAAGAATTCCTACAAATCCAGAACAACTTCATGCCAATAAGATATTCATACAAACATTTGAAGAGTATGACTAAGAATTTTAAGGACAAGTTGGGAGAAGGAGGCTACGGCACTGTATTTAAAGGTCAGCTTAGAAGTGGCCCTTTAGTTGCAATAAAATTGATGGGAAAAAGCAAAGCTAGTGGACAGGAATTTATCAATGAAGTGGCTACCATTGGAAGAATTCACCATGTCAACGTGGTTCGACTCATTGGCTTCTGTGTTGAAGGTTCAAAACGTGCTTTGATATATGAGTTTATGCCAAATGGTTCTCTTGAAAAGTACATTTTCCCTCAAGAAGTTACAGTTTTCTTGAGCTACGGTAAAATCTTCGAGATTGCTCTTGGGGTGGCCAAAGGGGTTGATTATTTGCATCGAGGTTGTGACATGCAAATTCTACATTTTGACATAAAACCACACAACATTCTCCTCGACCATAATTTCATTCCTAAAATTTCCGACTTCGGGCTAGCAAAATTGTATCCAGCGGAAGAAAATATGGTATCACTAACTGCAGCAAGAGGTACAATGGGATACATGGCTCCAGAAATGTTCTATAGAAACATCGGAAGAGTTTCTTACAAATCAGATGTTTATAGTTTCGGAATGCTGTTGATGGAAATGGCAAGTAAAAGAAGAAATTTGAATCCGTCTGTAGAAAATATAAGCCAAATTTATTTCCCTTGTTGGGTTCATGACACGCTCAACAAAGGAGTGGAAATTGATTTGGGGGATGCTTCTTTGGATGAAAGAATAATGGTGAAGAAAATGACACTTGTAGCCTTGTGGTGCATACAGATGAAACCTGACGATCGTCCTTCCATGACTAAAGTTTTAGAGATGCTTGAAGGAGATGTCGAGTTGTTGCAATTACCTCCAAAGCCATTCCTCTCTCCAGAAGAAATGCCGGAAACAGTGATATAGACATGAATTATAGGGAGTTTCTGTTGTTGTCTGGTAGTTTTGATTAACAAAACAAGTCTAAAGCGCATTGAAATTTGGGGTAATATGATATCAACTATGACTTGTATCAAAGTGCAATTGCATCGAATAATTATGGATTGCTAGTTTTAATGATTAATGTATTAGTTGAATTGATATGTTTATCTATATAATGCAACATTAAAATCACATTAATATGTAATAATCTATCGACGTTGAAATTTGTTGGAATGTCCATTTTGATAACCTAAAACGCTTTTTAACTCTATAAAAATGATAAGTTGCAGGGGAGATGGACAGTCAATCAAACTCCAGGGTTGAAGTTGACTTTGGTTTGTAGTGGAAAAAATGGTTCGATATAGATCCATTAGAAGTGTTGATTTCCCATATGTGAAGTTGGAATTTATAGCGTTGGAAGAGTGAACCCAAAATATGTACAAGTACCACTCCACAAATTATTGAAAGGTAATGTTTCTTGGTATTTGAGAAGACATTGTGTTGAGCTATTGTGTTTGACAAGCTAAAGTTGTTGGATAATTTATTGCTTTAAACCACTGGATCTTTCATGTTAAATTATCAAGAAATATATAAATTATGGTGGAAGCGTATCTGAATCAGACATAATTACTTGCAATAATTGAATCCTACAGCTTGGTCTTCCAAATCTACACGTAGTCTCCTTTATTCTCTGTGATGGGATGCAGAAAAGAATGAACAATACAATACTTTCTCTACGTGTGATTCGGGGACCATAACTATTTATATAGCAATGCCCTTTGACCTACTTCGGCCCATCATAGAATTAGGACTGGGGCTCGGTCTCTACACATATAGAACCCACACTTTAATTGGATATAATAAAGCTCAAAATCGAATCCTTATTAGATCACTTTTAACTGGGCTTAACTGAATTTGATAGCCTTTAATTTAACACACAATTATTCACACATATCAGCCCATCTAAGGATTAAAGATCCTTACAAAAGTCACCTTAAGGTATTGTTTAAGTGCATAGTGTTTGAAATGCCACTACACGTCAGCCTCAAGACCTCATTTAGCCCACGTATATTTCCCATCCTTTCTTTATTAAAATGAAATATATGACTGTTATCTATCACATCAAGTCATCAAATTTGAATTTTTATCTCTTGTGTGGAGCCCGTAACGAATATATTTTTCATTCTCATTCTTCCAAAAATAGAAAACAAACGGGGCCTCTATTCAACTCGTTATATGAGGTCGTGAAGCCAAACTAATTGTCCCTTGATTTTCCTAGCTAGGCATTTAGCTCTACTTGCATTCATCCTCTACAAGATCATCCCTTCTAGGCCTAGCAAGGTTTGCACTAAGTGTTTTGACTGAGTGACATATTTTGTGCCCACAAATACTATTTGAATTGGGTTGTGACTTGAATTCTTGTTGAGTATTTGATTGGAAATACCATTGAAAAAGTATTAAGAATTGGTAGTAGATTTGAAGATGTCTTAAAAGAGTCCAATGTGAATTTGACTCCTATTTCATTCCAAATTCTCCATTATTAGTTTTACCGATTGTATTAGGACTTTACTTTATATTGAACTTTTCATGTATTAATTCTTTTAGTATGTTAGAGATTCTTTGGTTATAAATATGTGGTGTACAACACATATTAGAATTGAGTAATTGTCCAATTAATTATTGGTCCGAAGAGATTCTTTGTAACTCCTTACTATTGATTATAGTGAATTTTTCACGTCTGCTCGTGGTTTTTCCGGATTTGGATTTTCATGTAAATCTTGTTTTCTTTGTGATTCATTATTTTTATTTTGCTCATATTATTCTTGTCTTTATTATTTCGCCCGGTTCTTAACAAGTGGTATTAGAGGTGAAGGTTTTTTAGCAGGTTCTTGGGAGGTCCAAATTGGATACTAAAGAGAAGTTGAAACAAGGCCAATTGTTTCAGGGATGGCAACCATGAAATTTGAGATATTGCTTTTGGATCGCAGCAGTAGATTCTCTTTATGGTAGATCAAGATGATATCGGTTATTGTTCAATTGGGTTTTGACGATGCTTTGTTGGGGATAGATAGAATGCCTGCAGAAGAGAAGCAATGGAAGGATCGAAAAGTCCTATCACAGATACATTTTCATCTTTCTAATCAAATTCTTTAGAATGTGGTAAAGGAAAAAAGTTCCGCTAGGTTGTAGTTAAAATTGGAATAGCTCTGTATGACAAATAGCTTGATAAGTTACACTTGAAGCAGCGGTTGTATTCTCATCGCTTGACAGAAAGTGGATCTTTGAAAAATCAGCTATCGGTGTTCAAGGAATTATGTTCATTACTACCTTCATATGTGACTTTTAGAGATACCATTCTCTATAGTTAGGATATTCTTACTATTGACTAGGTATATGATCGCTTTATTCTAAGGAGAAGATGAAGCATTTGATCGTCGAATTTGAGGCAAAGGCAAAGAGACTTGTTATTTGTGAGAGGAAGAAAAGTGGTCATGGAACGGGCAAAGTCAAGGATAGCAACAATAATGTAGTCTATTGGTATTGCAACAAGAAGGACACATGAAAAAGGATTGCTATTAAAGGTGAAACAGGTTTGCTACTATAGATCAGAAGGGACAAATAGGAAATTCCAATGATTCTAGTCTTGTTGAAGAAGCTTGTAGTAATGGAGATCTTTTGGCAATTACCAATGGTGCCTCCAAACTTGAAGGGAATTGAATTCTTGATTCAGCTTACATTTTCATATGTGTTCAAACCGGGAGTGGTTTTCTTCATATGAAACAGTTACAAAGGTTTCGTGATGATGGAAATTAATGAGCTTTGTAAAATAGCTGGGATTGATAATGTTAAAATCAAGATGTTTGATGGGCGGTTAGGACGTTTGGCCGAAATCTAAACAAATTGGTGCCAAACCTATTCTGCCTTCAACAAAATGGTTTCAAGTCTGGTCGAATTATAACAAGTGGTATCAAAGCACTTGTGTCCAATTTTATTATGGCAGATTTTTGTTTGAACGTTGGAGAGGAAGCAACGTAAGGAGTTGTGATCTTGCTGCTCAGATGGAGTTAGTTGTGAACTTGATGATTTGGTTGTTCGCAGTGATTCAAGCAAGTTTAGTGTCCAAGGTAATTCTACTGGTAAACAATGCTGGGATTCAGTTCAAAAATTGCTGAGTATGCCAAGAGGAGCTTGGTGGAAAAAGTGGAGTAATTTGGTTGACTATTTTATTTGGAGAATTTTGTTGGAGTCGAAAAGTTAAGTTTTAATCCTCGTAATGGAATTCATATCAATGTGGAGTTTCTTAGAATTGGGTTGTGCCCCGATTTCTTGTTGAGTATTAGAAGTTGGTAGTAGATTTGAAGATATCTTGAAGGAGTCCAATGTGAATCTGACTCCTATTTCATTCCAAATTTTCCATGAATGATTTTGCTCATTGTATTGAGGCTTTACCTCATATTGAACTCTTCACATATTAATTCTCCTAGATGTTGGGGATTCTTTAGTCATAACTATGTGGTGTACAAAATATATTGGAATTGATCAATTGTCCAATTAGTTATTGGTCCAAAGAGATCCTATGTAACTCCTTACTATTTATTATAGTGAATTCTCTGCCCCTGCTCGTGTTTTTCCCTGATTTGGATTTTCATGTAAATCTTGTTTTCTTTGTGATCCATTGTTTTCATATTGCTCCCATTATTCTCGCCTTTATTATTTGGACATATTGTTATCAAATACATTTTTTAAAAAAAAAAAATTAGACCAAATGGCTAGCCATATGGATTTTCAGATATCGTTTGACTTGAATTGTGTCATATCCATTAGGTCTCACTGTGTCGCATAAAGGTTATCACATTGTGTATAACATAATCATGAAAAAGTTTGAGTGCCACTACCCACATTAAAAAATAAAACAAAATTACACCACTTGCCTATTGGGAAAGTAAGAAGAAAAATTCACATCGATCGATAGAGATATTGTAGAAAATGTATCAAAGGAAATTGGAATGCTACACCAAATAGATTAATATTTGGGATGGAACCCCAGTATCCTATTATTGGTATTAGAGTTAAGGCCCAAGACTTTGTGATAGCGAAAACATTAATGGTTGACTCTCAAGATGATTTAATCCATATAAGCAATTTATGACATAGTCAAAGAATTATCCCTTGAAGGGGCAAGTAATCCTTCCCGTTTTAGGGAAGAGTAACATGTGAATTATCACTTAAAGAGATTCACTGATGTTCCGTTGGATGGAGTATTGTTAATTCTTTGGATCATGCAGACAAAATCAAACATTAACAAGATAGATAATGTAATTATAAAAAATTGAACTACTTTGTATGATAAGTTGATGTTGATCTCGAAAATTGGACCTTCCACGTGGCCAACCGATAGCTACTCCACGTATTCCTCCCTGCGCATAATCAACGCACGGTCAGACGCACACGACCGGGACTAGCGGGGGTGGTGGCGGTCGTATACACTCCGACGGTCAAGTCAGGATTAGGTGGTCGGAACAGTACCCAGGGGTTGTGCAAAATAATAATAAGGGGGAGTAGAAAATACATAAACTTGCTATGGAGTGCTATGTAGTAAGAGTTTCATTACCTTTACCTCTTGCCAAACCTTGGGTATTTATAGGTGGGATGAACCGTTGGATGTGGGACATGTGTATGCATTTGACGGTATGAGGCGTCTGCTCATAGGCGTCAATCAGCCGCGTCTGTAGAGTGGGCGGGCAGTTTGTTTCTCCCGAGTTGAGTTGACATAAAGTTGATAAGTCACATCAACTAGCCTCATAGAGACGTCAAATCAATATAAACCTTAGATGCACAGAGGATCTTGGAAAAAATCTCTTTCTGAAATTGACTGCGGATCTTCTGACAGAGGTTCACTTCGCCTCGGCCTCAGGGGCAAGGGCGCTTCGGTCAGTTCAGCAGGATCGTCTATGTCTCTCAGTGTGCTACTAGGTTGTTGACATTGGTGATATCACTTCGAAAACACTTCGGATGGGTGTCTATCAGGTCGGAATGTGTGGTGGTTGGCATTCCGAAGCGGTTCAGATAATAGGGGCGTAACAGTGTCCCTTAAATCCAGGTGTGAATAT